ACTGAGTCTAAGAAAGGGGCTCTTTTTCAGGTCAAGGCCAGGAGCTGAATCCTCCAAGGGTTGTGCGTCGTGAACCACAAGCGCCTCGTGGAGACACAAGCCCTCCGCGCGCCGTTGCTCCAGCGATGCCGGCGTTCCTGCGCAGTCGCCCGCCCGCCGCGAGATTGGGCCCCGCTGCGTCCGGCGAGCGCGGCGAACTTCCCAGGGGCCGAGGACCCAATAAGTGAGAATAACGCGGGCGCCTTCCCGGCTTGGCCCCCCGCGATCTTGGGCGCGGCGGCCTGCCGGGCAGCGCCCAAGGCGCCCCCGACCTTTCGAAGAAGACCCTCAAGAGTCGCAGTGGCCCTCGCAGCCTCACGCACTAAATGCTCAACGCTCTTACACTTGATCACGCGCGCAGCCTTGCCAAGTTAATCTCGAGCTCCAGGACCTGGCCCGGGGGGGCTCGAGCGCGCGGGACTGCGACCTCCAAGGCGATTGCGACAGCGAGAGGGCCAAGGCTGGAGCGCCGCACCATCCAATCCGCGAGTATGGTTTCAAAAATGGGTCGGCGTCCAATTACAACTCCGTGCCCTGCGAAAAGGTCCAGGACCGTCAGGGCGCCCCCTGACAATCGCGCTGTCACGATTACAATGCTGTCCGAAAGCACGTCAATCAGGTTCACGTGGGGCATGTCGGTGTCATCGCGGACGTGGGAATCTGGGCGCCCAAACGCATTCGTCTGGTCATGGAATATAATGAAATGGGGCTGCCCTGACCTCGCTGGCCTCCAAGGCATCGCAGCTTGAACCTTGACGGCGCTGTCCCGTCCCTGATGTTTGGTGCTCCCGTGGCGGTCTTCACCCAACTGCCCGCCGAAAAAAAAAAAAAAAAAAAAAAAAAAAAAAAAAAAAAACTCGTCGTCACGGCCCTCCAGATGTCGAGAACGCGCTTGCCTAATGGGCACATGCGGTGCACGAGGCGAACGCAGCGTTGGCCTGTAGAACTGTAGAAGTAGTTGCCGTCTGCAAGTAACGACCCCGAAACCTTCGCCAATCCCGCGGCACCTGAGCAACGCCACTCGCGTCCCACGCAAAATCATGGATGGATGCGTCTAAATGGCCAGCTCATGCTGGGGGCGTAAGCCCCACGTTGGCCCCGGCCACCTGCGCGAAGCATCGCGCGGCCGCGACGGCTGGCACGCGAATCATGCGGAACGCTTCCATGGGGGGGCTCCGCGGCAGAGAACTCCGCCGAAGCTGCGTAGACAAGAACAAGAAAGCCTGCTTTTCCCGCTTTCTGAACCAGGCTGCCCCAGAAACTCATGCCACATAGCTATCGTGGGCCTCGCGCTGACATGTGGATTACAGAATCGCCGCCCAGGGCCCGCCGCGGTACGCGCCAATGGCCAATGCCAGAGACCGCTTCTGCCTTCCATGCAGAATAAGTTTGTTCAGCGAGGGGCTCAACTCGCTAACGCTGGTGTTGCCGCTGTCTCTTAATCGCGCGAACAATGGCATGGCGGCGCTGTCGCACCCGGATGAGTTCGGCATAGCCTTGTACTATGCGCAGCGCGGGGGCCCGCAGCAGCAAGCCCGCCCAATTGCGCGCAAAGAGCGACGCGCTGCTGCAAGAGAACTCGTTACCCAACATGCACTGTGCCTTCTTCAGGGCGTGGAGCGATGCGCGACACGGCCAAGTCCGAATATCTGCCATCAAATACGTCCACGCGCGACCAGGCAAAGCGCGGGCCACTAAACGCGGCCAGCCAGGGTACCTCTGGACGAAGAGCCGTTCGATTTATTCCAACAGCTGTTTGACCAGCTGTACACCTCTCAGCGGGGCGGTCGGGGCGCCATCGTTCGGATTCGGGGGCACGGGCGGCGAGAAAGCTAAATGTGTAGTATACGTAGACGTAAAGGAGCCAATGGTCACAGCTCCGCACAGTCGGAGCGATCTGAATTTCCCCCCCAAGGCATTCCACAGTCAGAAATCAGTAGCTGAAGAGGGCAAACTGCGGAAGGGGGGGGGGGGGGGGGAGGGGCCAAGTAGTCTATCCGCGAGCTCGTTGTTTTGTTGCCGTGGGCGCCGTGCCCGCCGAGGAACGTATCTACGAGACACTAGCGACGCACATCTGGGAAAAAACTCCCGAACTTCGAAGCGGTCGTGGTCTGGCCGAGTGTAAATCTTTCCTGCAAGATCATACGCATCGAAAAAAAAGGTCGGCACCAGGGACTCCAGCGTCGTCGCGGACATCTGCCCCGAACACAATAGAGCATTTAGCGGAGTGTTCAAGAGCGACACGGGTCATCCACTGTATGGGATCATCTACAACCGTCTGATACGTCACGCGATGCTTGGAAAGGGTCGGTCGGTGCGGGAAATGCAAGGCGAAGCAGAGGTGGTGGAATTTGCCCGACCTGAGCACAACTGCGCCCCCCCGTCTTTCGAAATCTCTCAGGCAGAATGAAGACAGCGGGGACGTGAGCCGCACAAGAAATGTCGCGCCTCGAGCGGATCTGGACGCCCGTGTGCGCGTTTCTAAACGGAGACCGCCCATAGCCCCAAGTCAAAACATGTAACTTGGGATGCGCGTGCAAGGCGCATAAGTTATGTGTGTTTTCTCGATTCAATGACAAATTTGGCACCTTTCGACGCAAACGTTTCCGAAACCTCATCGTGTCGACCTGGTTGGACAACAGAGCACACGTTACAAATCACACAGTCGAAACTGCGATGTTCCATGGGCTACCACACTGCGCGCCGTACAGTGGCCCCTCGCGCATGCGAGAGCGCTAGTGCGCAGCAGGGGGATAACGATGTATCGTGGGTTTCGGCGCGTAGGGACGGGGGGGATTGCAGCGCTTGACGCCTAGGCGGGGGAGGAGGAGGAGGAGGAGGAGGAGGAGAAGGAGGAGGAGGAAGAGGAGGAGCAGGAGGAGGAGTGCGCTGTCTCTTCAAAACGAGGACCGGGACCCAACACCACAAGACGGCTCGGACAAAAATCCATCAGCCGAGTTGCCACCCTACCGACAAGACAACCGGCCAGCCAACCGACCAGGCGTGGCCACGCAAGCAGTGGGAGGGGGGGTGCCAGCGGCGGAGGGCGAAGCCCTTCAAATATGGCATCGAAATGACTGCTCCCGCGCTCGGCACCTGCCGTGGCCCAGCTCAGACGGGCCGTGAAAAACAGAGCGACTCGGTGTGAAACGCTGGCCCCCGGAAGCGGATCGGAACTTCTCGGGGCCCCCGAACAGAAATCTAGACTCAAGTCTGGTGTGCCTGTCGGCGTGTGTGAGGGTTTTTTTTCTTTTCGTGTCGTGCTTTCCTCCCTGCTCTGACTTTCTCTATCCGCATCCAGCTTCCACTCACCGTTCTCCCGCTCTCCGTCAGCAGAGTCCTCTTCCTTGCGCATGCCTTGCCCAGCAATTAATTGGACGTCGTCAATACTTCGAAGGGAAACCCCTTCCCTTTTCCCTTCCCCGGTGCGGGGGGGGAGGGGGCGGACCCGGGGGGGTCCCGGGGGGGTCCTGGGGAGGAACCGGGGGGACACCCCCCCAGATCCGACTCCCCCGGCAGCCTTCGAGAAAGCCCAGAGGGCGTCGCGAGAAGGTTCTCGTCCTTATCCTCCTCCCCCCCTCTCCTCCTCTTCCTCCTCCTTCTCCTCCTCCCCCTCCTCCTTCTCTTCCTCCTACTCATCATCATCATCATCATCATCATCATCATCATCATCATCATCATCATCATCATCATCATCATCATCATCATCATCAGCAGCAGCAGCAGCAGCAGAATCAGCATCAGCATCAGCATCAGCATCAGCATCAGCATCAGCATCAGCATCATCATCATCAGCATCAGCATCAGCATCAGCATCAGCATCAGCACCATCAGCACCAGCACCAGCACCAGCACCAGCATCAGCATCAGCATCAGCATCAGCATCAGCATCAGCATCAGCATCAGCATCAACATCATCATCATCATCATCAGCATCATCATCATCATCATCATCATCATCCTTGTCCTCTTCTCCTACTCCTGCTCTTTCTCACCTCCTCCGCCTCCTCCTCCTTCTCTTCTCCTGCGAATCTTCCCGCTCCTTCGCCTCCTCCTCCTCCTCCTCCTCCTCCCTCCTCCTCCTCCTCCTCTCCTCCTCCTCGTCCTCGTGCTCGTCCCTGTCCTTTTCCTCCTCCCCCTCGTCCTCCTCCTCTTCCTCCTCCTCCTCCTTCGCTTCCTCCTCCCCCTTCGAGCCCCTTCGATCAAGGTCGGCGGCACCGGCCGTCAGGCCTCTCTAATCTAGACTCAAATCTGGTGTGGGCACGCCGGACACGGGAACGGAGAAAATAGGCACGATGCCCAACAGCAGATGCTATCCAAAACGGGATAGCGGCTGCCGTTGGGCGACGTGTTGTCTCAGACGGTCAATGCCCGCGGCGACACCGACAGCGAGCCCTGCTCAAAATGGGCAGGAACTGCGGTCGATGTTCGCCCCCGTTCTTTCCGTATCCATCGGCTGGAAGAAGTGGGTGGAAGCAAGAAGTAGGAAGGCGTCGGACACAGGTTGGATCTGCGCTCACCCTCTCAAGGCGAAGGAAAAGGGGAAAACACTCGATCCTTGACATGTCGGTGTTTCAAGAGTGGGGGTCCTGAGAAATGGGGTCCCAAGGACGAGGTGCCTCAAACAACGTACATCGAATCTTGCATCCCTCGGGACCGCACCTTTGAACCACCGGACACAGGCAGGTGCCTTAACCTGCCATCGCTCGGACGTCCATTCCCTGTGTTTTTTCGGTTTCGTGCGTGGCTGTTTCGCCAAATTATCAAGGATGCTCCTCGATGGTCCTCGCCGGAGGAAAAATGCACACGTCCAAGCGATGCCAAGCTTAAGTAGCTTGAGAATCAGGGGATCCGACAAGTCAGTGCTTCCAACGACCGAGGGGTGCCCACATGCCGATCGTTCCGATCTGGGTGCACGCGGGACTGTCCGGCGGCTCTCTGCCCACGGGGTGCCAGCTGGCCTGCGTGAGCACCGGCCGCGCGTGCTTCCACTGCTGGAGCAGCATGGAGAGCTTGGGCACCTGCTCGCAGCAGTGCTCTGTGGTCGCAGGGACGCGCGAGCGAACACGCGAGAGTGCCGAGGGCTGCACGTGAATTCACATCATGCCCTTCACACGGTGCCCACCATGACGAGGACCTGGAGAGCGAACGTCAGCCGGGGTGACAGCTCGCGAAGCTCGCCCGCAGATTACATCCATGTGTACCTCCACGCCCTCAGGTCAGATTTCTGAAGCGCCGGCTGGGGTTCATAGTTAGGAGGATGGCTGCAGCCATGTGAACCCCAGCGGCGGGTCCGATACCCTAGCGACGGGTGGACCCGCAGCAGGGGCAGGGTCCACAATCGGTCGCACAGCCCACTCCGACGGCAGACAAGGGCGGGATGAAGCTATAGGTTCGGATGCAGCTGAATCGCGAACCTCTGAGGGCGGCGGCGGGTCCGGCGATGTACAGTCGGGGCACTGAAGAAAGGAACCTTTTTCGTTGGGGAGGGGCTCGGTGTTCCTTCATTGTTTTACAGTTTGCCTTTGGTTTTCCTGAGGTTTTCCATGGGAAATCAAAGTTCAACTTATAGGGAAAAAGGGGCTCGTTCCTTATTTAGGGTTCCTTAGGTCAACGCCCCGACTGTATCGGGCGTCGCGGCCGTTTGGGGGCGCTCCGGATCGCTCCGGGAGCGCGCCGGAACGTTCCCCGGAGCCGAGTATACCCCTTCGGAGGCCTGTGCGCTTCGACGGCCGAGGCAGCCCTCTCGCATGGCTCTCGCTGCGTCCCGAAGGGAGCGCACGGCGAGGGTGCCTCTCGGCTCGGCCTCCCCCTCCTGGCATCGCTCGGACGTCCATTCCCTGTGCTCTTTTCGGTTTCGTGCTTGGCTTTTCCGCCCAATGATCAAGGATGCTCCTCGATGGTCCTCGCCGAAGGAAACATGCACACGTCCGAGCGATGCCCAGAGCACGACGAGTGTGTCTCTCGGCTCGGCCTCCCCCTGCGGGGCCCCCGGTGAAGCGGCTCACGATCAGAAGCTGGCACCAGGACGGGGTCGAGAGGTCTCGGGGCCGAGTGCTGCGTGGATGAAAGCATCAACGCTCTGGAGGACAACGTCACAGCACCGTCGGCATCGTTCGCAACAGCGTCGGACTCGTTGCGGCATGGATCGCTTGCGGCATCGCCGGGTTCGTTGCCAAGGGCATGGCCCAGGGTGCGCAAAGCACACGCAGACCTCGGCAACCCCCCGAGCACCCACAAGGCATCCTGGATACAGAATTTGAGGCACTCCAGGTCCGGGCCGGGCGAAAGGGGGGTCCAGCAAAGGGGGGTTTTGAGAATCCGCTTACGTAGCTGATTTTCCCAGCGCCTCCCGGCGCCGGAGGCGGCCATGTATCGAGGAATGGGCTCCTGGGTGGGGCCAAGACTAGCTGCATGCAGCAAATTTGGTAACCCCCCTTCCCAATCCCCCCCCTTTCGTCCCGCCCGACAGGTGCGCGGGTTTCTCCTCCTCCTCTTCCTCCTCCTCCTCCTCCTCCTCCTCCTCCTCCTCCTCCGCCCCAGGCCGGAAACCTCGGGCAGGGGGTCCTCGACGGGAGGAGACGGGAGGTGTCCGCCTCTGAACTCGGAGAGCTCGGCGAGGTCTGCCTAACCTGCTTTGGTTTTGACGAGTTGCTTCCGCTTGGGCTATGTGCCTTGGGTTCGGCGAGGTTTTGATGGTTTTGATGGTTTGATGGTGTTGTTTTGCTCGGTGCTTTGGCTCGGATGGGTTTTGGTGTTGATGGTTTTGATGGGTTGCTTTGGCTCGGCGAGGTTTGCCTAACTTCCTCAATCTCCTCGGCCTCGTCCTTCATTGCCCCCACTGCTCTATCCGCTCTCCTGTCTCCACCTCCTGCATCCTCCTTCTCCTCCTGCATCCTCCTTCTCCTCCTTCTCCTCCTCATCTTGCCTCTCGAGCTTACCATCCCCGCCTCATCCAACCCCTTTTCTCCCTCGTTCTCCATACCTCTCTCTGTGCTCCCCCTCCTCCCCGTCGAACACCTCTCTCATCTCAAACCTCCTCATTCTCCTCCCCCTCCTCCCTCCTCGAACCCTCCTCGCACCTCCTTCCTCGCTCCTCCGCCCTTCTTACCACCTGCCACCCGCCTCTTGCCCCCTCCCTCCTGCCTCTTGAGGAGGGAGTGGAGGGGAGGGGGTGGGAGGGAGAGAGGAGAGGAGAGGAGAAGAGACGAGGAGGCGGAGCAAGGGGAGGCTGGGAGCGAGGGGATGGAGAGCAGGAGGAGGTGGTGGTGGTGGTGACTCGGACTATGAACATGTCGGTTGCAGCGCGCCAGCTAAATAGTGCGCTCGCCATGCGCGACGCACTCGCCATGAACGCCCCGCTGTGCGACGACCGAGATGGGCGTCCCTTGGAAGACCGTGATGGCACAACTGGGCTCGCTGGGACGGATTGCCAGCCGCAGGTCGGGCATGTCCTTCTGCAGGCAGATCTTGGACGAACAGTGAGCATAGCCAACAACTATACAAACAATTCTCACACATAGCCAACAAATCGTCACCCGACTATGTTCTGGGCTACTCGTTTGAAAACATGCCCGACGGAATGCCAGCCGTTGGGCACAGAAGGGCCCCCGCCCTGCCACCACGCGAAGCCAGCGCTCCTCGTCTGGGCAGGACTCGTGCTTACGAGGAGGAAGAGGTGGAGGACGAGCACGAGGAGGAACGAAGCGGAGGTCGAGGAGGAGGAGGAGGAGGAGGACGAGAAGTAGAAGGAGGACGAGGAGGAGGAGACGGGGGAGGAGGAGGAGGAGGAAGAGGTGGAGGAGAACGAGCACGAGGAGGAACGAAGTGGAGGTCGAGGAGGAGGAGGAGGAGGAGGAGGAGGAAGGACGAGAAGTAGAAGGAGGACGAGGAGGAGGAGAAGGGGGAGGAGGAGGAGGAGGAGGAGGAGGAGGAGGAGGAGGAGGAGGAGGACGAGCACGTGGAGGAACGAAGCGGAGGTCGAGGAGGAGGAGGAGGAGGCGGAGGAGGAGGAAGAGGAGGAGGACGAGAAGTAGAAGGAGGACGAGGAGGAGGAGAAGGGGGAGGAGGAGGAGGAGGAGGAAGAGGAGGAGGAAGAAGAACTCCCTGTCCGCTACGTGTTTCGGGGATGGACAGACCCCCCTTTAGTAAGTCGTGTTTTAGTGAACACGACCTCGGGCCCAAACCTGGCGGGCGCAAACCCAGAAAATGACGGCCGCGGCGCCCTCTTGAGAACCGAAAACGGACAATTCACTAATCGACGTGTCAGGGTTACGACGCCACTCGACACTTCACAAATCTGCCCAACCTTGAGGGGCAACGATAGGGGGGGGGATAGGGATAGGGGGGGAAACATCGACCTGGAATCGGCAATACATCGCCGATAGATCGGCGATAGGCCTCCGATAGTGAGTCCGCACCTTCCAGGGCGGGTTGGGGCTATCAGACCCCTATCGGCGATCAATGGGCGATTGGGGGTCGATGCATCCCCCCCTTGCCTATCCCCCATATCGTTGCCCCTGAAACATGTGGTAATTCGACGCCGCACGACGCTGGTACGGTGCACTCGAGCCCGTTCGGCTGGGATCGATTTCTGAGAAATCCGGAGGCATCGAAATGCGTCTAAATTTGCGACGGTCCCAGATGGGGACCAGGAGGAGGAGGCGACAGAGGAGAAGGGGGAGGAAGGGGGGAGAAACAGGTGCGAAGTGAGTAGGGGGTGAGGGGGGCGAGGGAGGAAGAAGAAAGAGTAGCAGGAGATGATGCAAGAGAAGGAGACGGGAGGAAGAGGATAAAACGAATGGAATAAAAGGCGCGGCGCTCGAACCCTTCAGCTGTTCCGCCGCCATCGCGACTGGCATCGTCGTCCTCTTACTCCTCCTCCTCCTCCTCCTCCTCCGCCTCGTCCTCCTCCTCGTTGTCCTCCTTTCCTTTCCCTCTGGTGCTCGTCGCCATCGTCGCCTCTTCCTCTTTCCCAGCCGCCAGCGACGGTGCTGATGATGATGCTGATGATGCTGATGATGATGATGATGATGATGCTGATGATGATATTGGCGATGGCGATGGTGGCACTTACGAGCATGATTCACGATGGTGACGATGGTGATGCCCGCAGTGCTGCCGCGCGAGGAGGCCTCCAAAAGGGCCCCAAGAGGGCCACAGGAGAGCACCAAGACGCTCCCAGAGCAAAAGAGCTGCAAATGCCTTGATGGTTGACTCGTGTCGTCGTCGTCATCGTCGTCGTCGTTGGCGTTGGTGTTGGCGTCGGTGTCGGCGTCAGCGTCGGCGTCGGCGTCGGTGTTGGCGTCGGCGACGGCGGCGGCGGAGGAGTCGACGTCGGCGTCGTTGTCGTCTTCATCGTCGGCGTCGGTGTTGGCGTCGGAGTCGGCGCCGGCGGCGACGTCGTCGTTGTCGTCGTCGCCGTCGTCGTGTTCGTGGTTGTCCTGGTTGAGTGGTTCTCCTTGTTCTGCTTGAGTGGTTGCCTCCCCCTCATCCTCATCCTTCGAAATATCTGCGAAGACATACGCAGTTCACTACGGGGCCGCGGGCAACTCGCCTGGTGTCCGTTATTGGATGGGCTCGTGAGGACACGCGAAGCGCCACGAGTCCGGAGAACGTATGTAGCCAAGTGAACTCAAGCCGTGGTTCGGCGGCGCGCCTGGGGGGAAGTGAGACCGAGAACGCCTGCTCAGAAGGCGACGGGGCTTTTCTCAGAAGCCTTCTGGCCTTCTGAGAAGTTTCTTGCGTCTTCGGGAAGGGCTTACAAGTCTGTCAGAAGGCTGGGGAAACTCCCGAGCCTTCTGAGAAAACCTTCCCCTTCTCACTCCCTCCCTGCTCGCCGCCGAATTTGCGGCCACGTAAACCTCAGCCAGGGCGTCCGATACCCTAGCGTCTCTCGAACCCGCAAGGGCACGGCCCAGAATTCGCCGCAAATGCGCGCCCCCGCGCCGCACCTCTGGTGGAGGGGCAGCCCACCGGCCCCGAACTTCTCAGCAGGCCGGAGGGCTTCTGAGCAAAGCCCCGCCGCCTTCTGAGAGG